TTTTATTTTGATTTGATTTTATTATAATCTGGTTTCGTTTTAATCTGGTTTCGTTTTAATCTGTCACAATTATTATAGAAAGATATATAATATATAAAATTATGCTTTGGGATTACATATAAATAGGTATCAAAAAAAAGTGATACCCCAAAATATAATTATTACAGAAAAATATATAATATATAAAATTATGCTTTGGGATATCAACAGATATGTTAACAATTCGGCACTACGTACCTCATCATCAGATGTTTTGGTATTATTACCAGATATGTTAACAATTCGGTACTACATGCCTCATTATCGGATGCTTTAGTGTATTACCAGATATGCTAACAATTTGGCACTATGTGCCTTATCCTTGATTGATATTCAAGTGCATTATAATAGTTAGCAATTCGGTACTACGTGCCTTATCATCGGATGCTTTGGTGGATTACCAAATAGGGATAACAATTCAGCAATCAAAATCAGCATACTTTAATATAACGTACTCGATAGCATTTACGTGATATAAGCGTACATATTAATTAATAGCATAACCAGATATTGTATATATAGCATAACCAGATAGCATGTATATAGCATACGCGATAACAATTAGATAGCATTCCTGATAGCAATACGCAATGTATATTGATGGTATTCCCCAATAACATTTACGATGTATGTATCGACTGCATATACATGTTTGATAGCATACCCGATAGCAATAGGTAGGTAACTTTTGGCCAGCAAATGACGATGGTATCATATTCCTGTCGTTAAAAATGTGTCATAAAATATATATCACGACACTGACGACAGTGTCACATTTCTATCGTCAAAAATGTGTCATAAAATATATATCACTATGTGCCCAGTTCGGGCATAGCCCTCACACTGGACCTGCAAATGATGACACGTGACTGAATGCATCGTTAGCATATTTTTTATAGATCATGAGGTATCTAAGTGTGACGATGTGAATACAAATTCGTCATCATATTTTGTATAGATCATGAGTACCTAAGTGTGATGATGAACTCATGAACCAATTGTCACTCAAATGATGACGTACATGTGATCTTATCATCACATCTGAGTGGTAATAACCTAGACTAAGTGGAAATAACATAATTATGTTATTTCCACTAGCTTTTTAGAATGCTTCTAATGATACTATAATTTTTTGATTCCATAGTGAACTTAATATAAATTAATTTCATATTAATATTTTTTATATAGAATAATTCTATATTAATTCTGTTATAATTTATATTTATCACATTTTGGTATGATAATGAAAACATTAAAATTAACAAGTTTATAAGTTATAAATAAATACTATTATGATTGAACTCTTTATCGTAATATAATTATTCAACCAATATTTAATAACAAAAATTTTATAGTTATTCGATCTTGTCATAATTAATGTACTTTAGGATCATTACACAATACATTTTCTTTTATCATTCAGATAGACTCTCACTATTACTAATAGATATTATATCTATTTAGTGTGGGATAGTCCTATAGTAATATAGTACTGATATTCTATAGCAACTTGACAGTTGTTCAATAGTATGCAATAAATACAATATAATAATCTAATTATATGTAATTAATTTGTTTGTTTATAAAATTTAATAAAGATAATCAAGTAATAGATATTTAATTAAAGATATTTATTTAAATCATTAGTTGGATTTGCTATAACTTACTCTTTTATAGCTATAAGATCAACTGTATTTATATCTAATATTTTTATGATTAAATTATTACAATATAAGATATATTATATATGTTAGATAAATATGATATAGTAGATAATGTTGACATGTCTGAGAACTCTACTATCTCTGCTATCTTTACAATCAATATAATAAATCGATAAACATCGATATACAAACATCGATAGGCCAAAAAAGGTTAATTATCGATGATTATCAACCCGTAATAAACATCGATAATTAACCTTTTCGGCCTATCGATATGCAATGACGAGTCCGATTATTATCAATGTTTATCCTGGGATATATTATCGATGTTTAACCCTTTAAAAAATGTGACTATGATAGTCACATTTTTTCAATTCCCGAAACATAAAAAATTTGACTTCAATATAGTCACAACCTCTTTATAATCACAGTTTTTGGCTCGTTCCGCCTAATCACGGTAACTTTAGTGCACTTATTTAGTGAAGAAAAATTTTCAGTTTAAAGCTACGATTTCTATTTCTAAATCACGTGAATTTATATGTAATTTGAAACAACTGCAATTTAATTCATAATCCGATAGATAACGATAATATTTTTGCGAAATGGAAACAACGACGATCTCCACCTCCAACGTATGCAACTCTATTTTAGCGAAACTTACTCAAGACCTAAACACTGGGAATCTTGGAGAAAGTGGGTGGGACTCTATTCGTTCTTTTCTCTAAAGCTGACTGATTTTCTTTATAAAATAGCGAGACTTTCATTAATTCACATAGTTCTACATTCTTGTGGAAAGCCCACAATCTATTTACTTGGCGACTGTATAACAGATTTGCATTCTCTGGAAGGAAATATTAATGATAGCAAAAATAGAGCAAAATTAATACATTTAAAAGTTGGCTCACTCATTGACTTGTCTTCCGAAAAGTTTCATTCGTATACCTTTCGCGAAGTTCCACCCTGTTGGAGACAATTACACACTGACGCAAGTCTTGTAAAAAGTATCTGTGAAGTTCATTTGGCGAAAATTATACAAAAGGAAAGCGAGCAAAACAAAATTGATGACGACGCGATAAAGAATGCTTGGAAACAAGTGATAAAGACTTTGGATATGACGTTGCTAATGTCAGGTGCACTTGGCAAGGGAAGAAAGGATTTGGTCTTGCAATTGATTTCAGTGGTCGAGAAAAAACTCAGAAAAGATGAGAATAGCAGTAAAAGTTTTTCTATTAGTAAATTATCAGTATCATCATCTAATGATGATCAAATACCATATATAAAATATCCGATATATGAACATAAAATACCACCAAGCTTGTACTTTTTCACTACTCATGTGAAATCAGCAAGACCAACTCCATTCATAATTAAATCTTCGATTTCGCATTGGCCCGCGCTCTCAACGCGACCATGGTCGAATATTGATTATTTATTATATGCCGCGGGCGAAGAACGTATAGTGCCAGTTGAGATTGGTGCAAAGTACACTGAGGAAACTTGGACACAAAAATTAATGGGATTTGGTGAATTCGTTAGAAAACATATCATAAAAAATCATGATTCTTCACAAGAAACCTCCGATAATAATAATATTTCGTATCTTGCTCAACATAATTTATTTGATCAAATTCCCCGTCTCAAAGAAGATATCTTAGTTCCCGACTACTGCTTTGTGGATACTGAACCTTTAGATAGTAATGATCCTGCTCAATTGAATAATAATAATAATAATAATAATAATAATAATGTACAATATCAACCACCATCAGATGTTATTATAAACGCATGGTTTGGACCGAAAGGCACTATCTCGCCAATGCATACCGATCCCTATCATAATCTTTTGGCACAAGTTGTCGGAGAAAAATATATAAGATTGTATGCCCCGGAAGAAACACCCAACGTCTATCCATTTGAGAATGATGATCTACTGAAAAATACAAGCCAGGTTCATATTCAATAATAATAATAATAATAATAATTACTAGATGCGTTTTCCTATTTTAATAGTATTATTATTTTGAAAATAAAATAACCAGGTTGACGTTGAGAATCCAGATATGCAACAATTTCCTAAATTTTCTTCTGCGCAATATGTTGAATGCATGCTGCGCCCTGGCGATCTTTTGTACATACCAGTAAGTGACAGTTATTGTATTTATTTCTTTATCAAGTTATCAACATTCATTTATATAAATAGCCAGGATGCTGGCATTACGTTCGATCTCTGAGTGTAAGTTTCAGTGTAAGTTTCTGGTTTTAATCATGTCGATATTTTTGATGACATGCAATTTAAATATCAAAAGCCGTTATACCAAACAAAGTATATTCAATGATAATACTAAAATATATAACAGCAGTTTGCGACTCTTTATAGCCTGGTCTTTGTAGCGACATCTTAACATGTTTATATAAATAGAAAAATAAAATACCTTGTAAAGTAATGAATGTGTAGAAAGGCAGAAAATAATTATTAATATAGTAAATTATGTATATATGTGTATCATTATTAATCTGACTGTATACTTCACGCCAGTCACAGAATCTAAGAGATTAATCCTAGACAATGATAATAATAGTAATAATAATAATAATAATAATAATAATGATAATGATAATAAGTAATATTACAATGTTACACTAAATGATGGTTGTTTGCCTTTGCCATCAGAGACACGTCTTGCATTAGTCTTGTGCATACCACCAATCAATTCGTCAGAATACATTTTGCCGTTTCTATTGCAAATAAAAAATTAATTTAAATAAATATCGAGTGCACACATCCATTATATAACGTATTAACGAATAGAATCAAAGAAAAAAAAACTTACCGAACTGATCTCGCCACCGACTGTTTACTAAATTTATTCTTCAAGCGATAAGATGCACTGCCAATATTTTTGGTAGCGGTAGGAACCGCGGCTTGCTTCAATTGAACTTTTAATACGCGACCTAATAATAATTTTCAAATTAATAATGAAATATCTGCTTGTCATACAACAAATCGAAAGAATATTATTATTTGTTACATTACCATCGACAAGGGCCGTATTATATTTCTTTATAGCAGCAAGAGCTGATGCTTTTGACTCAAATGTCAATTCAGCATTCACAGGTAAACGAGGATTTTTATTGGATTTCATATCCAAGGTCAAAATATCACCGAAATCCATAAAGGCAGTCTATTAAGGGACGATAAAATCAAGATTAAAACTTATACTGGCATCTTTGTGCTCTTTTGAATACAATATAAATACCTTAACGTCGTTTGCACTTGTTCCAGAAGCAAGGTTACTGACTACAATAGTCGCTGGCCCACCTTCTCCTTTAATTGAGAATTCTTGTTTTACGGGGGCGACTCCTTTAATCGACATCCTGCCAGTCACCCCGATATTGGTGCCAAGTCTCTGTTGAATGGAAAGACCACCGATTGATGATGAGTCTGCTACGAGAGGATTGCTACGTTTAGTTTGCGAAGGACCGGGATTAAGGGTCTTGAATAAATCATGGCGCCAAATGCCATTAGAGTTGCCGGTTTTGGTCGATTTCGATTTCTGATTGAAATGGAGGGAGTATGAGGAGTAGGAGAGCGCAAAGTCGCAGGAGGGATGAATATATCAGTCTCGTGATTGTGTGTTTTTGGGAATCGTTGCATCAATCAATTTATTGAACGGACGGCCAGAATGCTCAAAAGCCTTGTTTTTTATAAAGCGTGCTTCGTCGTTTATTTCTCGAAATAAAGTAAATTATTATAGTATAAAGCCTTTTCCCAGTTTTTCGACGTTGCATTTTGAGCAATTCAAGGGTCTCTGTTCCAACCGTGTGTACTTACTGCCTACTTGTTATGTAGCAAGTGGAAGTAATCTTAAAGGTTCAGAGAACTCTTACCGGATAGGGATTGGCCTTTTGACGAGTCAAATTTTTGCCTGCATTCCTTGCACGGATAGGTCCCGTTTTATTAGTAGTATTATTATTACTGTTGTTAATATTATTGTTATGGCTGGTGGCATTCCCCTTTTGCTTTTGATGTTTTTTGCTGACTTTGATTATATCTTCGAGACTCATGTCGAGGCGGTCTACCATTTTCATTCTCTTTTTTTTTTTTGTTGATTAGGTGGGCAAATCTAGTGTTTTTTTACGGTATATGTAGAATAGTGAAGGGTGTGTGTGTCTGTGTGCTGGCTCGCTAGAAAAAATATAAAAAAGCTCTCAATAAACAAGAGGCGAGTGAATGTGGGTTTTTTCTTTGTTGTAAAGTAATAGTTGAAGATAACACACACACAAACAACCGCTGCTATTATAGTAAATAATGCGGAATATGATTACTAATGATTGGATCCAGGATTGAATTGGATAATACATGAAATGTATATATACGTATATGGTGCATAACATCTATACTCGTTAACGTTAAACAATTTAATGTAACTTTGAACTTTCAAATTTGATAATTTTAACAAACTAAACCGTACTATGGTGCTGGAAGTCTATACTCAACAATCACGAGAGATCTTTAAAACGCATCAACTTTTTGTAAAAATGATATTTTAAAAAACTTTGTTCTTTGTAACGAGCTACCGGTCAGTTTTTTAAAATATCTTTTTTACAAAAAGTTGATGCGTTTTAAAGATCTCTCATGATCAACACTATAATTTTGTTGATCTTATAATACTGACCAAAATTAAGCATAATTTAAGAAATTTTTTGATCTTCAACCAAAATTAATGATAGATTTGTTGATCTTTTATAATTCCAGGCAAAATTATTCTTTAACGTTAATATAGATTTCTGACGTAATATATTTTGGTACTTTGAAAATTCGATATGTAAGAGTTTTGTTCTTTTGATGCTAATTTAATACAAAGGCACCTCGATAAACCAAAATGGCCGGGACTCTTAATCGAGACAGATTCACTACAGTCAAACCCCGTTAAACCGAAGCACTAATTAAAACGGAATTTTCTAGTCTAATATCAAATCGCAAGATCAATTCAAAATTATCATCAATATTTTCTTTTTTTATAGTCACAAGTATTAACGTTAAAAAAACTTGTTACAATTAGTAAAATTTGGAAAATTTATAAATTAAACATTAAAAATCTTTTATTCAATTTTATAAAAAATTTACAAAATTCAAATAGGATTGATATTGTTTTAATTAAAATATTGATTTATTGTAATATATAGATTTTTAAATACTGTAATTTATAATTTATTATAATAGTATTGAATAGTTAATATGAAATTTTATTAATTTCACATCTAATATTTTTTAATTAATTGAAAAATATTATACTAATAAAAACTTGCAAAAGAAATATTAAATGTAAAATAAATGTTCTTTTAATAACGATAATTATAACGATAATGTGTAACAACCAAATTTTATTAAGATTGTTTTTTCCGAATCAGAAAATGATATCGTTAAGATTAATATGATCCCAAATTTGGATATATCGATATAAAAAGAAAATTCACAAAAATTGTTGATTTTAAAATTAATTTGATGCAAAGGCAATTTTACAATTAGATTGAAGAACTGGATTGGTATTCATAATCCTAATTAATCAATCAATGAATCAGATTGGCTGTAAAAAAATAATACAATTGTCAATCGGAAAGGGAGCAAATTGTTATAAAAAGTTGGAAGTGGTAAAAATACGCGTAGTAAAAGTCATGTCACACTAAAGAAGTAGTTTCGTTCGTTTTGCTGTGAGCACTCTGAAGAGCAAAAGAACACAAAGAAATAGCTTGTGGTGACATAATAATCTGAAAGAAACAGTGCTTCTACAGCAGATATTATTCCAAGCCACAACTAAACAATAAATTTGTAGTAGTTACGAAAAAATTCACAGGACCCCTCGATAAGTTAACTCTCAAAGTGCTCTCTAGTCAGATCATTGATAAGGCAAACTTGTTAAAGCAAGGAGAGGGACTGCAAGATAACTCGGAAGCTTATCATATTCAAAGACGGTGATGAAACTGACTTCAGTAAATTGTATGTGTTGAAAATCGTACTTGGAATCAAACAAGAAATTATCGTAATACTAAAAATCAAAATGGTAATTACATTAAGGGTGGCAGCGCATTATTCCGGTTGCTTGCTTAATTAATTAATAATCGCCTAAAAATAGCGATAGGTTTATGCTAAGAGAATTTCGAAGAGGGTGGAAGTCGTATAGTAATAATACCAGTCCAAATATAAATTTGAATGTTTCTTCGGATGAGTATTTTGAGAACTCTTTTTAGAGTTCTTAACGAAAATGTCATGAACAATAAGTTGTTATCAATTATCCTTAGAATGGTAGACGAAAGTCTTGAAAATGATACAATTGATGAGAGTGTTAATGTGTATTTCCAGGAGATATATAGAAATTATTTGCGAGTGATCTAACGGATTTTTATATGGGCACTTTAAACTTTTTTACTTAACCAATTATAATCCAATTTTATACATAGGCTGCAAAAGAATTTTTTTGTTGTAATTAGTAAAATTAATTTTTCTCAAAAGATTAAATTCATCAGATGATATATTAATTAAACCATCGTTGTTCAAAGCTTAACTCGCGAACATGCGATGATAGAATTTTGGTGGGCTTAGATCTCGAGGTTAGTTGATTTTATCCAATAAAATAATTTTTGATTGTTGATCTGTATGGATATGATATGAGTATATATCGTTCTTTTACGATGTATCATCATTCATTAATTCAGTTATTGAAAAAAAGATTTCAAATTAGATGTACTACATGTGTTTTCTTTCACGGGATAGTTAATGGTTGGTGCATGGATTGGAAACCCGTGATGTGACGAAACTTCGAACAAAATGAAGACTATCTATTAAAAATATGCCGTTTATCTTTTATATCTCAATTTCCAAGGATTTTTTTTTAATATTACTGTTTTTTATGCATATGGAGAATCATCACCTAAATTTTTTAATTATGTATCGATATCGATACGAAAATAAATTATATTTGGAATTTAGCAATGCCATCCTTTTTTTGGGAGGAAACTCGATCAATTTGCTATAACGTATTTTTATTTTTAAAACTCGACAATGGTAATTGACGTATATTATGTTGACATATACAAGATCTTTTGCATAATAATACAAATAATAATTTGAGGCTAACTTGCTAAATATACGTGCTATTATGTGGCGTGATGGATAAATAAATAAAGAATAGTGGAAATCAGAACATTATATTTATTATTCACGCATTGTCACTTAGAATTATGAACGTTCCCTTTCAGGGGTATAACTTGCTTGAATGATACACTGAAAAGCCCCTACAAATATAGATCGCCGAACTATTTATTTACACAGCACGGGACTTGCCGCATCCAAGTTTAACATCTGCATTATTCTGCAAACAAGCAGAATGTCAGACTTTTACAAACCTACTAGCTCATCCAAAGACAATTCAACTTCGCATCAACCTCAAGAAAACCTTATTGACCCCTTTGACAACAACTACACACTAACATCACAATCACAATCTCAGTCACAACCACCACCACCAACTTTACAGAATCCGCAACCTGCTGCTGTTACACCATCTTTTCACCCTCAAGAAATTGGAAGCAGCACATTTTCCTCCTTTAACCCGTATTATAACGATAATACACCCGACGACGAGGAGCACGAACCCTTTTACACCGATTCGACGGGACTAATGCGTAAAGTTTCAAACATGTCAAACTTATCTGAGGCAAATCTTCCGTTGACTTCAAATGCTGCAAATATGTCCCCGACTCAATCAATGAGTCTTGGCTCGAAACTGACTGCTGGGGGAGCAGGTGGAGGTGATAATAATAATAACACAGGACGTACTATATATCTTAATGATCCACAAAGGAACGATCAGAATCGATATCTGCATAATCGGATATCGACGGCAAAATATAATTTTGTTACCTTTTTACCAAAGTTTTTGTATGAGCAGTTTTCAAAATATGCCAATTTGTTCTTTTTGTTTACAGGTATTTTTCTATAATTAAATTAATTTTTGAAGTTATGATTTTGAAGTTATGAATTAATTAATTTTTGTTTAAAATTTTAGCTTCTATTCAGGTATAGTGCGAAATTTATTGTAATTAGTGAAGATGATCAAATTAATTAAGTGGACTTTCTGCTGCTTTCTTGGCGAGAAATTGAGCTTTTTTAGAAAAGAATAGTGTATATATTGGCTATTATTATTTACGATATGCGACAAGTGAAACAACGTTCTTACAAAATATAGCTCATGAAAGTTGGAAATTTTTCTACCGTATTCTTCTACTTAAAAAAAAAAACAACATTAATAGCAAATAAAAAATGTATCACCGACAAATCGATACACTACCCTTGGTCCATTGGTGGTAGTATTGGCAGCCACAGGATTCAAAGACATAATGGAAGATTATGTAAGAAAAAACAACTTGATTTTACTCTAATAACAAGTTGCTGAAAACAATAAATAATTATTAATTATTGAAATAAAAAAAAAGAAACGACACCGCTCGGATTCCGAGGTGAACTCACGAGACTGCAATACACTCCTGGGCAACACATTCGTAGCAAAAGGATGGCACTCTGTAAAAGTAGGCGATATTGTTCGTATAGAGGGCGGTGATTTTTTTCCCGCTGATTTAATTCTGCTGAGTAGTTCGGAACCCGAGGGGTTATGCTATATAGAGACAAGTAATTTGGATGGGTAGGTTTTTTTATTTATTCGTGGAGATGTCGTGTTATGGCAGAGCAGCTGTTCTCTCAAAAGATATTATTATTTGTTCGTCCACAATAATAATAATAATAATAAAGTATCACCATCATCATCAATCATCAATAATCATCACCACCTTCATCCTCACTACTACTGCCGTTAACATCTATCTGGCAACACCAAAATGAATAAGCAACTGATTGATAAAAAATGAATCATCATCATCATCACTCTTTACTTAAAAAAAAAACCTATTTCGCTATAATAATGTTAGAATTCTTGGCTGGGAGGAGGGCACACAAACAAAACAATGAAATTTCCTTAGTTTGTCGTTTAAAGATTTCGCGACATCATCGATTCTGGGGTGCTGCTTCCATGTCATCATCATTACTACAATTTTGGATATACATACACACTTTGACATCCACATATATCCACCCATACACATACACACCTCTAGTGAAACAAATCTCAAGGTTAAACAAGCGCTGCCTGAAACTGCTGGGCTTACATCGCCGACGGGAATTAGCCAGTTAACCGGTATGTGTTTTTTTTTATGAATTATTCAATTTGCCACTGGTTATAGTTTAATCAGTATAATAAAATTTGGGGGGGGGGTTTGGTTATAAATGATTATTGGTTATCTAACCAGTGGCATAAAATAAAAATGTCCTTTTTTATTTGTTAAATGAAGGGCTAATAGTTTTTTTTTAAATTGGTGTTTTAGGGTGCCTTAATTCAGAAAATCCAAATAACAGCTTGTATACCTACGAAGGAACACTTGTCATGAATACACCTAGTGGGGGTAAACAGCTTCCTCTAGATCCTACACAATTATTACTTAGAGTCAGTATTAATCTATTCATGTATTTTTTGAATGTAAAAATTTTTCACGCTTCATTCGTTTCATTTGAAAATAGGGAGCACAATTAAGGAATACCAAATGGATATACGGTATCGTAGTTTTCACCGGACACGAGACAAAACTAATGAGAAATGCAAGGTTGGTATCTTTGAATAATTGTTATTGAATTTGAGAATATTTCAAAATGACTTCATTGTTTCCAATAATAGTGCGACTCCAATTAAAAGGACAAGCGTTGAAAAAATGGTCAACGTACAAATTATATTTTTATTTGGAATATTGTTGACCATGAGTTTAGCATGTTCGATCGGTTATACTGTGAAAACGGTAATGTTCTTACACACACTTTCTCCTCAATTCTAAAAATGACGATTTTTTTGGGCGTAGTAGTGGTGAGGGTAGGAGATTGGGCTGAGCTAATAACAGATTTTACGTTAAAAAACAGCTTAAATCCGGTTTGCAATTGGATTATCTCAAACTGGCAGATACTAGTTACATAGGACAATTTGGATTCAATATTCTTACATTCTTAATTTTATTCAATAATCTCATACCGATAAGGTATGCTATTCCACTAATATTAATCCGTCTTATTGTATTATTGTTATTTATTAATTTTTGCAAAATCTTCTTAATGATACATAGTTTGATTGTCACAATGGAAATTGTTAAATTCAAACAAGCTGATCTTATTAATTCTGATTTGGATATGTATTACGAGAAGACTGATACGCCTGCATTATGCCGGACTAGTAGTTTAGTAGAAGAATTAGGACAGGTAACGTTTTTACAATACAATTACATATATATATATATATATAAAATATGAAATATGAATAATTTGACCTATAAATCAAATCAAAACCAGATTGAATATATTTTCTCCGACAAAACCGGCACATTAACATGCAATGAAATGGAATTTCAGCAATGCTCCATCGCGGGATTAGCTTATATGGGTGAAGATATGAAACGTGCTCAGAATGATGGATCTACGGTGGGACAATACGACTTCAAACAATTAAAAGAGAATTTGAAAAATCACTCAACAGCCAATGCGATCAACGAATTTTTGACTCTTTTGGCGGTTTGTCATACTGTTATTCCGGAAAGAAATGAAAAGGATCCTAATAGTTTGTATTTTTCATTAATGTTATTTTCCTTTTTATTGACCTAAAATTTTAATAATATTACTAAAATAATAATAATAATAATTTATACTAGCGTTCATATATCAGGCATCGTCTCCAGATGAGGGTGCTCTGGTAAAAGGTGCTTCCTTATTGGATTATACTTTTACGACTCGTCGTCCCAAATCAGTTACCATTGTCGCCAATCAACAAGAAATGCAATACGAAATCCTCAATATATGTGAATTCAATAGTACACGAAAGCGTATGTCAACAGTTGTACGTAGTCCCGATGGCAAGATCAAACTTTACTGCAAGGGTGCCGACACCGTCATCCTGGAACGACTGAGTGGAGACAACCCATTCGTCGATGCAACACTACAACACTTGGAAGAATATGCCACCGAAGGTTTACGAACATTATGTATCGCAATGCGAGAAATATCAGAAGATGAGTATCAAAGATGGTCCGGGGTATACGAAAAAGCTTCCACCACACTGAATAATCGTCAAGATGAGCTTGATAAAGCTGCTGAGATGATTGAAAAAGATTTGTTCCTGTTGGGTGCTACTGCTATCGAAGATAAATTACAAGATGGCGTGCCTGAGACGATACATACATTGCAACAGGCTGGTATCAAAATCTGGGTGCTAACCGGGGACAGACAAGAGACGGCCATTAATATCGGATTGAGTTGTAAATTGATTCAAGAAGAGATGTCGTTGATTATTGTGAATAAGGAAAGTCATTGGGAAACTAAAGAGTTTCTCGAGCAAAAATTACAGGCAATAAAAGCTCGTGTTAATCCTGATACTGAGGTAAAATTATTGAATTCATTACAAAAAAAATCCTATTAAATAATAGAATTAATTAATAATAATAATAATAATAATAATAATATGGATAATAATATTCATAATAAATAATTAGCCGCTTGCACTTGTCATTGATGGTCGATCACTAGAATTCGCACTCGATAAAGAACTAGAAAAGATTTTTCTCGAACTCGCAACACTATGCAAAGCGGTAATATGTTGTCGTGTCTCACCACTACAAAAAGCACTAGTCGTAAAACTAGTAAAACACCACCTGAAAGCAATCCTCCTAGCCATAGGCGATGGGGCAAACGACGTATCGATGATTCAAGCAGCTCATGTCGGCGTGGGTATTAGTGGTCTAGAAGGGTTACAAGCGGCTCGAAGTGCCGATGTTGCTATCAGTCAATTTCGATATTTGAAGAAACTTCTATTGGTGCATGGTGCTTGGAGTTATCAACGTTTGAGTAAATTGATCTTGTATTCTTTTTACAAGAATATTACTCTCTACATGACGCAGTTTTGGGTTTGTTTTCATTCTCGCACGCTCTTGTGCGCGTTAGTTGTGATATTCGATTTCCTTTTTTCTGATTTATTATTAAACCTTTTTATGGAATTTATTGTTTGATCAGTTCGCATTCCAAAATGGATTTTCTGGACAAGTTATCTACGAATCGTGGACTATAAGTTTTTATAACGTGTTATTCACTGTGTTACCGCCACTTGTTATCGGAATATTCGATCAGTATGTGAGTGCAAGGATGTTGGATCGATACCCGCAAATGTATATGCTGGGCCAAAAAAGTGAATTTGTGAGTATATTTATTTGATTGCATTCTCTATATATTTTCATTTCTAATTTAAATTTAAATTAATATTAATTAATGCCACTTTATTTTTTTAAGTTCAATGTTAAAAATTTCTGGGGATGGACAATAAATGCTTTTTATCATTCTTTGGTTTGTAAAAATTTAAAATTATGATTTCTTTATACGATATTAAGATCCTAATTTTTTTATTTGTTTGGTAGGTTCTTTATTGGGTTTCAGTATATATGTTTGAAGATGAATTACTCTTGTATAATGGACAAGCGGCAGGTCATTGGGTCTGGGGTACAACATTGTACACGGCTGTGCTTGCCACAGTATTAGGAAAAGCAGCGTTAATAACAGAGTATGGTTTTAATTATTAACTGCCACATCATTATTTCGTCGTTTTTCATTTCTCTAATAAAATAAAAATATTATTAGTTTATGGACCAAATACACATATTTAGCAATTCCTGGCTCTTTTATTTTCTGGATAATTTTCCTACCCATCTACGCATCAATCGCGCCAAAACTAAATTTTTCGGAAGAATACGATGGAATCGTGCCGCAATTGTTCACTAGCGCGGTGTTTTATTTGACTGTTGTTCTTTTACCCGTATTTTGTCTCTTGAGGGATTATGTGTGGAAATAGTAAGTCTTGTTTTATTGGGTGGGGGGAGGGTTTTTTGGATTACTAGATTTCTTTTACTAAATAATTTATCGTTGTATTGCTTAGCACCAAACGTATGTACAAAGCAAGAGCATATCACACCGTTCAAGAAATACAGAAATTCAATATTCCCGATTATCGACCGGGTATGGAACAGTTCCAAAAAGCTATTCGAAAAGTTCGTGCCGTTCAACGGTTACGGAGGACTCGTGGATTTGCGTTTTCACAAAACGAATCTGGCCAGGTTTGGTATCTTTATTTACCTCTCATTTTTTTTTCAAGTATGCGTTACTTAATATATACTTTTCTAAAACAGGAATCCAAAGTTATCCGTGCTTACGATACCACTCTGCAAAAACCAACAGGCTTGTAATTTGCTTCGGTGAAAAAAAAAACATCACATTTTTATCATCATCATCATCATCATCAACAAAAAATAATTTTTATCTTATGTGAAATCTAATTATATTGTATTTCTATTTAATTAATTTATTGCTAAATAATAACCTTTCATCTTGTCATCATACTATGAAAATCTCTAACTGTAACGAAGAATTTATTAATTTATTATTAATTTGTTACTGCTAATCAAAATTGTTTTTTTGTGTGTCACAAAAGGATTAAAAGAATCCTTAGTCTTTCTGCGATTGAGAAATCAAATCCTCGGCATCTTTCAACGCTGTCTTTATTTCTTCAGACTGTGGTTCTATATTCGATCCTAATTTAAAAGCCTCTATTGCTTCATCATACCGTTTAAGTCCCATTAACGCCTTCCCCATTCGAAAATGGCCTTTCGACCAATCCCATCTCATTTTTACAACGGCAACAGAATCAACATACGCGTCTACCCAAGCGCCACTATCAATATAGGCCTGGGCCCGATTACACAAACATACCGATATATCCTCTTTTGCCGCTGCAAACGATTCCCAAACGGGTCGTTGAAACGCCATATCCACCGCGAGCGAATACAACTTTATAGCCTCGGCATAGTTTTGCGCGCGGAAATTCTTGTTACCTTCCTCTTTTAGACGGTTAATTTGTGTCGATAGATTGGGGTTTGCGGCGGGAGAAGCAGGAATACGACCGTCTATCGTCTTTAGATTTTTGTAGAGCTGGTTTAGCAGCGAAAAGTCTAGGTCACAAGTGAAGCAGGTCTCGAGATTGTGTGCGCGGCATGTGACCTGATCTGAGTTGACAGTAAGCGGAACTGGTTTGAAAATAGTGCTCATTATTGTGATGTTTACTATCGCTATCTACTGCTACCAATTTCCTATTTATGCAATCCAAAAAAAGAAAGATCATAAACATTGGTGGTGTGCATGATTGCAAAACGTGTTCAAATCTTAAAGGTAAAGAAAAAATTCACATACGACGAGTCGTGTTTCTATTATCTACTATCATTATTCTTTTTTTGTTGTAATTTTATGACTTCCTCAAATTTTTATATAACTATCACTCACACACGACCAATTAACGAATAAAGTGTAAAAAGTAATGGAACAAGTAAAAGAATACACGTCAAAATTCGAAGAATATATCGAAAAATTCTCGCAGCCTTTGAAACCATACATTCCGGCTACTTCTCGTTTCCTTATCGTGGTCACATTTCTGGAAGACGCGATCAGAATTATTCTTCAATGGGACGACCAACTTTGGTATCTTGAAAAACACCGAGGTTTTCCCTGGGGACTGTCGCATTTGTTTCTTATCGTTAATGTTATTGTAAGTGGAGATTTTTTTCTTTTTTGACATATTCGGCTTATTAATTTTTTTCTCTTTTTACGCTAATTCTTCGTGGTATTTATCATTCACTCTCACCACATATAAATCATATTTTTATTATACGATTTACTATAATAAACATAGACGATGTTAGCATGCTCTTTCCTAGTTATCAAACGAAAATTTCCAGAATATTCAGTAGGAGGACTTTTTGCCGTAGTGATCGCTCAATCGATTGGTTATGGACTCATCTTCGACATAAACTTCTTCCTACGTAACCTATCCGTGATCGGCGGTCTTTTGATGGTACTCTCAGACGCCTTCTCAAAAAAGAGATCGCTATTCCCCGGGCTACCACAACTATCAGAAACGGATCGAAAAACGTACTTCCAATTAGCCGGTCGCGTCCTCTTAATCTTTCTATTCATCGGCTTCATTTTCAACGGCGAATGGTCCATTACGCGACTATTCGTCTCGCTTATCGGGTTCATCGCCTGTATTATGGTTGTGGTTGGATTCAAGGCGAAGTGGTCCGCGACGTTTTTGGTGCTGTTTTTGTCGATTTCCAACGTGTTTATTAACAATTGGTGGTCGGTGCATCACGCGCATCCGCAACGCGATTTCTTGAAGTATGATTTCTTCCAGACGTTGAGTATTATGGGTGGGCTGCTGTTACTGGTTAATATGGGTCCCGGGGGAATTTCTCTCGATGAAAAGAAAAAAGTGTTTTAGATCTATGAATATTTACATATCTATACATATGAAAACAAAGACAAGGAAAAGACAAAAGATGGTTCTCGTTCTCTCTCTACTCTCTCATATCTCACTAGCTTAAAGTTATTAATTATTAGTATTAGATCGTCTTGAGATTTTTGTAAAAACTTTTGTTTCGAATATATATATATGTGTATATGTATAAATATATTTGATGATGATCATTCATATAATCACGTGATTTAGTTTCGATAAACCGGTTAGGGCTGTACATTGTCTTATATTTTATGTAATAAATTCACATCTTACCTGGAGAAAGTGATGGGCTCTATAGTAAACCAATATTACGTAATATATGTCACGGCCCTTAACTCAATGTTAACCGTTTTCTATTTGGTTATTTTTATCAGGTGACCAATTAAAAGTTAATATAAATTGGGCTCGTTAAAGCAAGGTACCGGGACCCACGGTCTCGGAAAAATATCGAGAAATTCTAATTTTTCCGATGCATGCATATTGTTAAAAATATCACAGTTTGATTTGTGCGAAAAAATTTATTTGTTTCAATTTTATTATATACACTTCTTTTACAAATTTTTTGTCCTTTTAGCATATGATTTTTTTTACATTGAAATAATATTGTTCTTAAAAGTATAACGGCATTGCCAAAACGTACCGAGTTATCTGGGTAAGATGCCCTGTTTGTATCATCTAGATTAATGTACTTTTGTTTGGCGAAATCATTCCATATCTCAGGTGGAACAACAAAGTAGAACTCGTAAAGGTCACGGCTTGTTCCAACCATGTGCTTTTGCTCGATACTATCATTTGAAAGTGTGCTGATTGTATTAGATTGACCCGATATGAAAGCGTCGATGGCATAGAATGTTCTCGACTTTGGTTGACAGTATTTCCCTTTGTGTTCAGTTCGATTAATATTCGAGAGTTGTATGGATAAAACATGTTCGCACGCTGTGAAATGCTTCTGTAACTCTTTTCCATCTTCAAGATTCCGGACTCTCCCCCAACTAGAACTTTATGTGCGTATGTTTCGAAAAGCTGTTCCCTCAATCCACTACATTCTGATTGTTCTCCGCTCCCGAGAAGAAACGACTTGATCTTCTCAAAACATAACTGTTCGAAACGATCGAGTAGATTATCAGCCACCCATTTGGAGGCGAAGGTGACTCCTGTTCGCAGATATTTTTCATTACAGGTAATATGGATTAAACGGTGACTCACGTCCTTTTTTGAGTCGATGTTCCTAATGCTTTGAATTATTTTATCGAAGTCAGCTGTAGCAGAAGAGAGATGGAATCCTTACATAAATCGAAGTATTTATCTATTGATTTAGTCATAGCGTCAACTATAGAAGTAAGATTTTGAATAGTTTGGTTGGATATATTGTCATTATTTTGAATATATCGAGTATTAGTCATTATTGCGTCTTTTATAGAAATGGTGAAATATGACGGCAATGCATAATAATAGTATCAGCCAAAGCCACCTCAAGAAGACTCAGAGAACTTTCCACCTTTTCTACAACATATCTAGGGATTCCACCTCATAAAATTCTCTCAGCTTAATGGAGGGTTTTCAGTTCTTCCAAATCCCATGTCGGCATTATCCTTGTATCGACTAACTTTCCTTTTTCGCATTCCTTGTATTGTTCTCTGTGTGGCGAAGATACAAGAAGCTTGCGGGCGTTACATGGTTTTGAGGTTCCATAGTGCCTAAAAGATAATATACTTGTGGGTCATCAAGAATGACACGCAAGGATCGCATTGATGTACATTCCACATCACTTGGATTAGTGATGCTATTAATTCGCGCCATTAATTGATAATTGCTGAATTTGTAACATGTTTCTTGATCAGGACTCCTGAAAGACCACCGTTTTACCACTGTGTATAGTAAGAAAAAAATTAAAAAAGGTTTTGCCTGTTCCTGGATTTCCTGTAATCAGGAAGTCACGTCTAGGATGTTGTATAATGATAATCTCCCAAAGTTCCTTACATGCTTTCCGAACGAAAATTTTTGAACCAAAATTACTAGCATTAAGAAAACAGATGTTGTCGGGAAGAAATATGATGGATTGAGAAGATGGGAGGAGTACCTTGGCAAAGGATTTCATTCCTTTGGTAATTGCAACTAAAGTATGGCTTGACATTCAGTTACAAAAAAAGGAAATATTTCAGCATAAGCTTACATTTATTAGACTGTTTATCGTGATTGTCATCTTCGGGACTCTTGCGCTTTCCTGCAAAAAATGAGTAAATAAATGAGTAAACCCAACGTTTCCTCGCATAAAGATTGCTCAAGATATACAACATTGTATTAAGATCACAAGGAGTATTTTACTGTGTCATAATCTTATAATTCTCCTTGCCATCTCCACCGTTCGTATTGTTTTCTACTCTGTGTCTCACCGGAAGCTCAATCACACAGCGCGGACGAAAAAAAATGAAACCACGGCCACATACCAGGTGTCGAGATTAGAGATCTTAAATAATCTCGTTTCTCATTATCCGTTATGCAGTCAGAAAGGAAAGACACCATAACAGCTCGTTGTTCAATATTAACAGTGAAGTATTGATGTAAAGCTTTTGTAGTGAAACCGAGGCGATTAATTTCTGTTATTGCAGTATCGGAAGTAGATTTGGATAAAAATAAAACGTGGTATGGTGCATAACATCTATACTCATCAAAAATGCAGATCAGTCCGAAATTTTGAAATGACGATCTTCACGTGATACAAGTACATTCGTTAATTTTATTGGACCATATTACAACGTTTATTCTTTATCTAATTTATTTAACTCCTCAAAGATACTATCCGGAATCCTCCTGTGAGATCAGTATTTTTTTACCGCATATTACACCAATTTTTCATTAATACCTTTCCTATAAAGATCCATGTAGTGCCAACATTTTCTTGAGAACTTTCTAATAGTTGTTAAGAGTACTGAATCAAGACTTTCAGGAATTATTTTTTGTAATCCCTGTCACGAATAATCACAATTTTCACATGAATGTCATTTGGTAACTCCCCAATATTTCTCAATAAAATTTAACTCGCAGTGAAACTTCGAAAAAAAATGCATTTATGTCCTGCATTTTCAATTAACTCCTCAATAGCATCTTTTTGAGCAAGAAAATCAGGCTTCAAGAATATTACTTGATGTGCACAACAAGAAGTTCTTGAAATATCTTGACTCTTTTCTTTGCATTTGTTGCATTCTAATACTAATTCTTCAGGTGATCATTTTTCACGTTCTATTAACACTTGCTTAATTCCCTTAGACATATTTCAAAGTTTCTTATCATGATGTGTTATTGAAAATACTATCAATTGTAGCTGGTTATTTTGTTCAAAATAGGTATCCCACATAATTGATTGCTTACTATCTGAGTTTAAGTTCATTCAACTTGCGATCAAAGCATCTTTGCTAAATATAGTGTGATTAGAATTATTATCGAAAGCAAATATGATCATGCAGTTTGAATATAATGTCTCAAAAATGAAAATTGCTTTGTATTCAATTTGTTTGAGAAGATGCTTCACTGTCCAATAACCTTCTTGATTTATATTAGGTTTTAAGTAATATTGTGCCTTTTCAGATACATAATGATTTTTTTCTTTATTAGCTTGCTGCAAGCATAAATATTTATCAATCTCAGTTAGAAATTCACTAATCATAATTGATCTTTCATTTTCTTTTTTTCATAGTGATATCTCATCATCTTTAGTCCATACTCCGTGTTTATTATTATTTGAATAAAAAATACATTCATCATGAACTACAAAGACTCTCTCTTTCTCTTTTTCAGATAAGTCAGGATGTATTCAGTTTATAGATTCATCTTCGTATTTGGACATGTATTTCTCATACTCAAATATATTTTCTAGAAATTCTTTTCGATATTGCAAAACGTCGTCTCTCTCATGCTCATTATAGTATATCTCACGACGATATTGTTAGAACGAATAGCCAAAAATCTTAAACTATCTTATTGCAATCATTAAAGTAATAATTTTTTCTTTGGCAATTCCAATACTAAAAAATAATTCATTCTCAATAAATTTTTTAAATACTGCTGGTATGATATCAAAATTTTGTTCTCAAATCCAAGTATGACATCTTTCTGCAACATTTTCATCATTGATTACTCTAATTATTTTTTGGTGTTTTCCATGTCAAAATGCTGGAAGTTTATTATTAAGTAATCAGTACTTTATAAGATTCTGAATTTTTCGTGCTTTTTACACACCATTATCAATAAAATTTTTTGGGTGATCTCTAAACTGATACCAATTTTTTCACAGTTATTATTAGCATTTAACAAGATAAGATATTCAAAAATGGCTCTTTTATTATTATACTTGAAGACGGTTAATTGAGCATGTTTTTCTAAATGTTTTTTTTAACTCTTTTATTTTTTCAGGTATTTGATAAGTGTACAAATTAATAATCTCACTTTCTGAATCACTTGAAGCATCTTCTAATACACTGGGCTTAGATAATTGTGGATCAGTAACTTGGATATCACTAATCTTAAAAAAACATAATTTTTTTGGTGCCAGTTGCTGCTTTAGTTAATGAGTCATTTGAATTATATTTATCATAATAGCTTTAATGTCTTGCCTATCATATATGATCTTTACTTCATTTTTTCTAATTGGCTATTGTTTCTTCATACTAAGTCGAGTTTTTTTAATCTTTAATTTCAGCTTCCATATCCTCCGAATCATCCCATCCACTATCATCATTATTACCTCACTCTCTTTCATTTGCTTCTAATTCACCATTACTCCACTCTTTTTCACTTGTTTCTAATTCACCATAAGTCATAATTGTATGATTCACTTTTTTTGACTTATACTTGCCATTCATTTCTCTAATTTGATCTTTACACTTTCTTTTTCTTTTTGGAGCAAAAGGTATTTTCTATTATCTAATCAATCGATTTTTTTTACAAATTAGAAAAATTTTTTTATGCATACATGATCTTATTAATTTAACACGTAATTGGTATTTGGATGGCATTGCAATGATATTGTGTAATCAAAATTATATCACTATGCTAATGATTTGAAAAAATGTAAATGCGTATCAGCACAAGATGCTTCTATCTCTTACAAGTAAATCAAATGAATAGAAATCCCAAATTTAAAGAAAGAGACTTAAGATATTTTAAAGTTTATAATGATGTATTAATATAAGATTTTTTATTTTATTTTAATTATTGATACATGTATATAAAAATCCTGATGTTGAAATTGGTAAATCTGAAGGTGATGACAGGATGAACAGTGAAGAAAGTGAAGGAAGCAGTGATGATCAAAATATTGAAGAATTCAAAGACAGAGAGCCGAATTTTATTGATGTGAACAATATAATCATTTTGATGTATTCTTATTATTAAATATTTATATTATTACAGATATATTTACATTATTAAATTATGTATTTACATTATTAAAAGATGCATTTACATTATTAAAAGATGCTTTATATTATTTCTATTCTAAAAACTATTCTATCCTCTCTTTCCTCCAATCCTTAAAATTCAATATGTATACTCACAAGTTTTTTGATAAATAATAAAGAGCTTTACAAATAATTGACATAGTCAAATTCATTGCAATTCCCTTTGTACTTTCATCATGTGTCGTGATGCTTTAGCTGACACTGTGATCAGCTGTTACTAATTTGGGGAATTCAACGAATTTTAGTCGTAAAGGGGATGGGAAGCTGTGGGATCACGTGAACACGTGATCCCGGAACCAAGTGACTCAGTATAGTTTTCCGACTCATGTGACTTAAATGATCAATATCTAATTGCTGATTGGTCTAAAATAGACTGATCGGCATCCGAAAATAAAAATTCATTAATAAAAGTGATCATTTTTAAACTTAAATAACTTTACAAAATACTAAATAATTAAAAAAACTAAACCATAAATCTGAAAGAGCATCACTAAAATTATTATTTTCACAGTTTATATTTTAAATATTACCCAAATTGGAAGACTAGATATATTTAGAAGTTATACAAAATTGTTTGATGACTATAGATGTTACGCACCATACGTAGAACGATAACTGAGGTACGGAACCTGTCATGGAAAAAAATCAATATAATATCGAACTTCTGATTGGTTCGCCACAAGTTACACTAAATAAATTCCTGATGAACATAATCGTGTGCCCGATATACGTAATTACATGTACATGTACGTATTTATTCTAAAGTGTAAAGCTTTAGTTTCCATATATAGAATGTGGGTATTTTTATTCTTCTTCATTTCATGCATCTTGTGGGCGTATGTTTCATTTTTCATGCATCAATCGTTTGACAAACATATGTGAACGACGACGACTTCCACTCCACCACATATAAATCTTCGTTTTGGACATAAATCACTGGCATCATCACTATTCAACTCAAAGATGTCATTAATTATTTCGAATACTTGTGATTGTAGTGGATGCTGGAAATGTCAAGCAAATTTAAGTTGTGCTGGATGTATTCGATATCACAAACGAATTAATAAAGCTGAATGGTCTAGTGGAAATAAAGATATCGACAGTCTAATAAATGAATGCAATAATATTATTGACGATAACGATAACGATAACAATAGAGTATTTGAATGGTTCAATTTATAAAGCATCCTGGTTGGACGGTTCACTGTATCAGTGGGATCATAAAAAAAATAAGTTTATACGAGATGGAAAAACTGACGTTGTGTTGAAATCATTACACAATTCAAAGCAAATTACATCCGAGTTTATATACGAGGTAAAATGAACACTTTTAAGTATAAACAT